GGAGAGGGAATCAATTATAGTACACGAAACAAAAAATAATTTGATGACTTGCAAGTATGTTTAATTCTATTCCCCGTGTACATTTAATTTAATTAATATATAGGTTATAATGTTTGCTATTATATATTTCATTTTTTAAACTTATGAAGATTTATTTTGCAGTACATCCATTTAGGACTAATCTAAATCTCCTCAGCTTGCCAAGTAGCGGAAATATTTAAAACCACAACGATACTCAACTGCAGAATAAATGCATTCTCATCACTTCGAGACTTGTTTCTTCTCTTCATGATTTGTTTTATGCCACTACACGCTCTTAGTTAGACTAGTAAATAGTAGTAGTTACTTATTTTACAAATTATTTTTAGGTCCAAGATATGCAAGCTTGTTTCGATCAGAAGTTTTCAATAATTTTTTTTATTTCCATTTAAGTAATAAAATTGACCAGACTTTGGAGAGAATAAAACTATATGGAATACTTGGTTTCCTTAGATCAATATTTGCTTTAAAAACTGGACCATTTATAACTTGTATCAAATACAAAAAATTACCAAAATAATGAACAAGTTTTTCAAAGTGCTTGAAGTATTTTATGATAATAACATTATTTTGTTATAAAATTTCTGTTTTTGTATATTTTAAACATCTGATTTATCTCTAGATGTACATAGTTTTATAGCTTTACCTAAGAACTAAATTTTATGATATTTGTAATATTATCGATCTCCACATTTAAGTATTAATAACTAGCTTGTGCTCAACATAGTGTCTTAACTTTCAAACTCTGTTTATAAAACTATGTTTCCAATAAGCCTCTGAAATGCATGATACTTTCTTTTTTAGAATAAAAATACAAGTAAATTGACCATTTTTATTAATGACGGCTGGAAAGAATGGATCACCAAGATTCTTATTGTCACTACATGATGAAATCGTCATGTTAAAACATTTTTCTTGTGCTCTAAATGTTATAGAACCTCATGTAAATGAAGCACAAAGGTCAATATTTCTACTAGTAAAATATTCGAATCTTAAAGGTAGTTCAAAACATTTAATTGATAAAAACAAACATGAGAACACAAACTTTCTTTTAACATAAATATTTTAGTTACTGTTTATTCTAAGAAATCAATATAGAATATGCTATCATATTTCAACCACACAATGTCTGCTATCCAATGAAAATGATGTTTACCAATAAATATCAGGGCTCATCAAACCCAATTAGACATAGACACTAATTACATCATCAATTTTAATGAACGACGACAATTATGGTGTGAACTAGTTTAAGTGAGCTGTAATTATTATCAATCTTATCTAATTAATTTATAAATTAGATTTGATGGTAAGGATTAATAACATTAATATTGATTTTATTCTTAACCTCAAATATTTATTCCTTTTTTTTCGGGATACAGTTCTGTCCAGCAACTTCAATTATTAATTGCTTGGTATGAAACCAAAGTTAATTTTAATGTGCTTAACTTAATGCTATATTTAAATTGCTAATTATCTTCAAATGTGACACATTTTTATATTAATTCTACTAAGCTAGAACAGTACACACACTTACTTGTTCTATCTGTTTCAAAGCTGACTGTTCAAAAGCACTGAAGTTCTTACGACTAGCTTTTCCCGTGGCCAATTTCGTCTTTTCGTTCCATTTGTGTATTGTGGTATTTCTTCACCAGGTTTGAAAGTAACAAGAAAAACTTCATGTTAACCTTTTCCTAATTACTCTAACAAGTCAGAAGAAATCTGTTAATTAAGTATTGATGGTTTATATTTCTATTTAGAAGAAAAACAACCAATTTTTTACTGTTCCTAAAACAAGAAAAAAAACGTTTTTTTATCATTTTACTTAAAACTATACTTTCAATGATAAGGTTAGGATTAAAAGTGAAAAATAAAATAAAACAAAACTGTATAAAATCAGTTACATACAAACTAATTATAAGCCATTTCATAATTTCTGTTATAACTTTAAATAAATCATTACTTCCATAATTAAACATAACGTTCAACTAATTGCTACAAACATTTATACCACACCATTCAAATGTCAACTTTAAAAATCCTAAAGTGTAAAACAAGCATATAAAATAAAGATAAACAGTGATCCTTGCACTGACATTTGTAGAGGAGGCCTACAGTGTAAAACAATCTTACAAAATAAAGATAAACAGTGATCCTTGCACTGACATTTGCAGAGGAGGCCTACAGTGTAAAACAATCTTACAAAATAAAGATAAACAGT